TTGTCTGGTTGGTATCTAACAGTATTACTATTTTTAGAGGCGAAGATACAAAAGATGATCAACCTTGTCAAAACGGTCCAAGAGCTGGAGTCCTAACCTGTCGGAAAAACAAACCCCTAAAGAAAGAAAATCTGACACTATATCTTAATTCATAGCCTCACATTCTTCTTAAACCCCACTAATAGCACTTTGCCTCACCATTATATTAACTCCACTCTTCTCTCTCCTTTCTTACAACCATCATACCAAACCCCCTAAAAGAAACTTAAAAAACATAGTTGGAAGGGCTTTAAGTCACCTATAAAAGGCCCTTCCTCTGTTTTTTACATGCAAGTAAACAGAAAAAAAAAAAAAAACCAACTTGAAAACAAAGAACGAAATTCTCTTTCTGATCTCTTGAAACTGTGAAATCAGGAAACAAAGCATGGAGTTTGATAGTGATAAGAAAAAAAAGAAATGTATCATCGCTGGGGTTATCACAGCCTTGCTCGTTGTCATGGTTCTCAGTGTCGCCATCATGATGTCTAAACATGAGAGTGGTCCGCATAAAATCGTGGACGTGCATAATAGGATGACCTCAAAAGCAGTCCAAGAGGTTTGTGCACCAACCGACTACAAAGATACATGTGTGAATAGTCTCATGAAAGCTTCTCCTAACTCCACTCAGCCTCTCGACCTCATCAAGCTCGGCTTTGACATAACCATTCGCTCAATCAAGGACGGGATCAAGAAAGCTTCCGAGGAGCTGAAAGCAAAAGCAGACAATGACCACGAGACTAAAGAAGCTCTAGAGTTGTGTGAGATGCTTATGACCGACGCTACAGACGATTTAAAAAAGTGCTTTGATAACTTTGATGGATTCTCAATTACTCAGACAGAGGATTTTGTTGAGGATCTTCGTGTCTGGCTCAGTGGCTCCATTGCGTATCAACAAACATGCATGGATACTTTTGAGGAAATTAAGTCCAGCCATGCACAAGACATGCATAAAATCTTTAAAACATCCAAAGAACTAACCAGTAATGGCCTTGCAATGATTACTAACATCTCTAGCCTTTTCGGAGAGTTCAACACCACAGGTAATATGTTCATATTATCACTTGAAATTGTACATCTCTATGTCTTATAACGAGCAATATGAATGAACGATGCTAAACCATTTTGGGTGACAGGATTAACCGGAGATCTCCGGAACCATGCTAGAAAGCTTTTGTCGTCGGAAGACGGTATCCCAAGCTGGGTGGGACCAAAGACTCGACGGCTCATGGCAACGAAAGGAGGTGTGAAAGCTAATGTGGTTGTGGCTAAAGACGGAAGTGGCCAGTACAAGAGTATTAATGAGGCCTTAAACATTGTGCCTAAAAACAATAAAATACCATTCGTCATCTACATCAAGCAAGGCGTCTACAAGGAGAAAGTTGACATCACCAAGAAGATGACCCACGTCATTTTCATCGGTGATGGACCCACCAAAACTAAGATCACTGGTAGTCTCAACTTTGCCATTGGCAAGGTCAAGACCTACAGGACTGCCACTGTCGGTGAGTCCTATCATGCTTCCCCAATACCACATTGTATTTTCAATCATGTAAAATATATGTATGGATAATGTGTTTTTTGATGTGGCATTCCTTAATGTGTTGCAGCAATCAATGGTGATAATTTCACGGCGAAGAACATCGGGTTTGAGAACACCGCCGGGCCAGAAGGACATCAAGCTGTGGCACTAAGAGTCTCTGCGGACTATGCCGTTTTCCACAACTGTCAAATCGATGGTTACCAAGACACTCTTTACGTCCATTCCCATCGTCAATTCTACCGTGACTGCACAATCTCCGGAACGGTCGACTTCATCTTCGGGGACGCAAAAACCATCTTCCAAAAATGCAACATTGTGGTGAGAAAGCCAATGGGAGGTCAATCTTGCATAGTCACTGCCCAAGGCCGGACCGACCACCGTGAAACAACCGGAATCGTGATCCAAAACTGCCGTATCACCGGGGAGCCGGCGTATATCCCCGTGAAAGCTGTAAACAAAGCATATCTCGGAAGGCCATGGAAAGAGTTCTCAAGGACCATTATAATAAGAACGACCATCGAAAATGTTATTGACCCAGCAGGATGGCTCCCTTGGAATGGTGATTTTGCATTAAACACGCTTTATTATGCTGAGTATGAAAATAGAGGACCTGGCTCAAACAAAGCCCAACGTGTTAAGTGGGCTGGTATTAAGAAACTCTCTCTCGGACAGGCTCTTGGATTCACTCCTGCTAGGTTTCTACGTGGAAACTTGTGGATCCCACAAATGCGTGTGCCTTACACAGAGAATTTGTAGTAGATTCCGACATTGTTTTTTTCTTTTTGACATCCTCTATTTTTCTTTCCATGCGTCTTTTTTTTTAATTATTAAAAACGAATATTTCTATGCTACAATTTTGCACAACCATTTTCGCGAAGCAAAATATTAGTAGGAATAATGTCTAAAAATGTCACATTTTTAATATTTTTAATTATAAAAGTGTCACTTACATAACATTATGACCGAAATACCTTCGTATATGGGTGTGTGAGACTGAGAGTGTACAAAGCATCTAATGCTGGATGGAGCATTTAATGTTGGAAAGAGAATGAAATACGTAATTGGATAGGTGGATTGTCTCACGTACACAAACGAGATACGTACATATAAATGTAAATGGAAATTATTTTTGTATATTTCGCCGTCTTGACGTACACCGGATGACTTTCTAATGTGTTGATGATGTATATTTAACAACTAAATGATGATGTACCCAAAATATGCGTATACCGAGAGCCTCTAACATCATTAGAATGTAATGTGCATATAGTTTCACCGAGTGTACATGACTGGTGACACATGTATATGTGTGAGTGTATATGGTTTTACTGAGTGTTCATGGTATTTGTGTACGTGCATATCGTCTAATATTTGTGTACTAACAATTACAGATGTACGAAAGTTTTGTATACATGTGATTTTAGTGAATGTACATAACTGGTAAACATGTGTATATAGTTTCATGTACATGTGAATTTATTTAAGTGTACGTAATATTTATGTGCATACACCGAGAGCCACTAACATCATTTTACTGAATATACATGACTGGTAACACATGTGTATATAGTTTCGTGTACACGTGAATTTAGTTAAGTGTACGTGATATTTGTGTATGTACGTGTCTCACGTACATGACCAAAAAACATTTTAGTTGAGTGTACATGATATTTTTCTATGTACGTGTCTAACATACATCACGAAAACAGCAGTTTTCAGTGTATACTTAGAGGGTATTTTTGAGATAATTGTATGTACGTGACAGTTTGGAGTGAGAAGTTTGGTCATGTGATATTTTTGAGATTAAAACTCATTTATGTGACATTCTTGTAAAAACTGTATAGATACATAATTTGTAGGGGTCAAAATCCACCCCTTGAAAATCAATGCCTAAAATTGGCTAAGTAAGGGAAAATGTTAACAGATTTCCCGCAGAAATTTTTAAACATGAAACCCGCGGAAAAACTTCATCTCCTGGTTTAACCAAACCCGCGGTAAACCATAACATTCGACCCTCGGTAAACCATAAACCTGACCCCGGTAAACCGAACATTCAACCCGCAGTAAACCATAACATTTGATCCGCGGTAAACCAAACATTCAATCTGTGGTAAGCCATATATCCGACCCGCGGTAAACCAAACATTCAACCCGCAGTAAGCCATAAATCCGACCCGCGCGACGATGAAAAACAAGGAATGGGCCAAGCCGCGGGGTGATGGTGATCGAGTATTGGGTTGAACCACATGGATGGACCGAAGCAACATAAAGTGAACCGAGCCGCATAGGAAAGCCCAAGACCCGCCCCGACTTCTCTTTTAGGAGAATCATGCGGATCACGGAAGGTTTCCTTATCTCATCAAGGAGAAACCCTAGCCGCGGAATACCTACAAATATGATTGTAAACCTTCATTGAGGGGGATCCGCAGCTTTTCGCATAAACACTTGTAACATTGATTCGCAGAACATCAATAAAGAAAAACCTATCTTCTTATTTTTGCATTCCGTGATTCGTAACATAGAAGTCTCTATTCCTTAAACCCTAGATAAATTATATTGTTCGAGTTTCGACTCCCACAATTTGGCACCGTCTAAGGGGAATCCAGATTTTCTTACACGAAGGAATCACTCTGCAAACAATAAGAGATGGTCGAGGAATCCCAGATCGTAAACCCCGCAGGCGATCAACCCGGAGAGAAGGAGAAGGAGCCCGTCAACGAATCTGGTACCAACGTGACTGGGCAGGCGAGAGTGCCAGCAACCCGCAACCGCCAACTAACGCGACTGGTGAAAACAAAATCGTAAATGAGCCGCAACCTGTCGTGACCCAAACAGCCGCGCCAACTGAAGCAACGCCGGAGTTCCTGAACTAGATCGTGACGATGGTGGAGAAATTGATCTAGGAGAAGCTGAACACAGCGCTATCCAGCGAGCTACGTTCTCCGTTAACGGCGAGCAATTTCTGCGGAAGGAGAACACGCCTAAACGGGAGAGCCAATTCGGGCATCATCCAAACATTCCTAAACTTTTTAGCACCGGTCGGCGCATAGAGGATCCGTGGCTTACCACCGATCCGCCCCATGGCTACTGTCACCTGGCCTAGCACAACGACAAATACCCCAACGGCTGACGGAAGGGCTCCGGTGATTGTTAGATGAAAATCTATCGAGAGATCGAATTTTGGAGGACAACCGCGACTTTGCGTGGGGGACCCGAGTCGCGGCTCGGCGGAGCAGCTCGCGGTTTGAGCAGGACCAAGAATACGACGAAGAAGAGGAGAATGTCCTCTGGGTGGAGCAACAACTTAACAAAGAGCGCAGCGTGGCGCTCTAAGCCCAGAAGAACGAGATGGCCGAGCTCCGAGAGGAGATGGCGCGAAACGCTGCTAACTTAAGGATGG